TGGAATCGGCCAAGGCTAGCCTGAAGGATATTGCATTCACTCCTGAAAAAGATGCAGAAAGTGTAATTTCATTCCTTTTGCATTACGTCAAAATCGACCAGTCAATTCGAGGGGATTGAATATAGATATCTGAAATGAAGGGTGGGCAATGCACATTTTTCTGCCACAGCAGCCCAGCTGTGTGGCTTGCGAATATGGTCCATCAACTCCTAGAATGTCTTTTTAAGATAGGAATGAACCTACAGGTCAACATGCCGGCAGCATTAACTCTCCCTTCACCTGATGCCATTGGGCAGTGGACGATAGAGAATTGTCCTCTTTGGTCCATCAAGACCGGCAAAATCGTCGTGGCCATCGACGTCTATTACACAGCACAGGTCCTGCCCCAATGGAAAGACCGCATCACATCTGCTCCTGGCCCCAGCAGCCCAAATCTGGTCAACACAGAGGGCATACGCTTAGACTCACAAAGCTATGACTATCTCATCCCGCAGGTGGACGGACGTATTGTAGTTGATGGCGCGGGGCAGATGTTCTGGCACAAGCGCGTCGAGTGGCTTGACAACGTCCTTGATGATGAGCTATTGTGGGGTGTGGCGGCTTGCTTTGAAAAGTACATGCAAAAGCATTTCCGGGGCTGAAGGAGAGCGGCGCCAAGACGGAGTGGGTGTGGACAGGCATTGTGGACTACAGTTGCGGCTTTATGCCGCATCTGGGAGCGGTTTTCGGGGAGCCGGGGCAGTTCTCCATTGCTGGGTCCTCGGGCCATGGCATACCGACAATACTTCTTTCTAATCAAGGCGTAGCGGCGATAGTGCGCGATGGTGTCTCCTTCGAGGCCAACAGTTTGCCAAGCATCACGCAAACGCCTAGAGCGACGACCGAACGACAGGATAGCCAGCTGGAGAAGTAGCTCGAGTGTCTGCGGGAAGAGGACTTGAAGCCCAGGTTATAAAACCATGGAAGGTTTAGCTGCGTCCGGAATCTGTTATCAACACACTCCGCCAAAATGGCACTACAGCCATTCGGCAGGGGCTTTCGCCTCGTTCTGAAGACCGTGGTAAGACTAAGCGCTTTCACAACCCACATATCGATTTCGTACCGCGATGATTGTACTAGGTATGTAGGTGCCCAGCAAAAAGCCAGACCCCTCTCAAATGCTCCCCATATCTCCGCACGACGAGTCAAGCAACCGCAGGTCCTGGGTTCAAGGATCCGTGTCTCATGCAAGTTCTCGGCTCCGACCGGGATATAGCCGGCTTCCCCGCGTCTTAGGAAAAGGTGGGTCGTACTCCGATCCCCGACCGCGGCGCAGGTTTCGCCGAAAATCTGCCTCCCCTCCCCCTCTCTCAGAAAAGGAAAGGCGGCATTGGCACGTTGGTGGGCATCTCAGCCTATCTTAGCTCATCACACACAAACTCGGAACCACCGCTCATTCAACCGACTCACTCACTCTATCCACCCGCATACCTTGCCTGCCCTGCATCGAGGAATAGCAAGGGATTGACGAGACAACGAGATAGACCAGACCTTCCTTTCTGAACCACGGACTTGCACTTGCCACGGCGGGGTCACATAGGCACGCAACCGCGGGCAAAGGCTATAGGCAAGGAGCCCTTCACTCGACCGGCCCGGCCCTCGGCTGGCCTTGTTGATCGGCGCAGTCTGCCCAGCCGCGCGCTATCAACGTACCTTTTGCTTATCGGCTATCGCAATTCCGAATCATAGATGGATCCCGAGGACGGCCTGCGTCTGCAACGACACAAGCAGCGCCGCGTCGCCGATAAGGAGCGGAAGCGGGCGGTTCGAGCGTACGATGAACCCCATTCTCTCTCTCTCTCTCATTCTAGATCTTCATTGATGGGAACTGCCTCATGCTGACGCGACCAAGCTGCGACGGATGTCGGAGACTCAAAGAAAAATGCGACGGAGGAGTCCCTTGCCGCCGGTGCACCCGCTTGCGCCGGCAGTGTGAGTTTCTCACGCCCACGACCAGAGAGGAGCCTGGATCTGAGACCACGGCAAGGTAAATACTTGGAGTCCCATTTTATCTTGAAGACATGCCTCGATCCCATTGATTGCGCCAACACATGGCTGACAAGGCCCTCGGCGAATGTTACAGACCACGCCACTCGCAACAGGAAGACTCTCAATTGAGGCAGAGGATGGCTTACATGGAGCGGTTGCTGGCGCACTACACCGGCAAGAGTGTACTAGACGCCGAGACGTTGAAAATTTTGGCCGAGTCTGTCGAGAAGGGGCGTATCGGCCCGGAGCCCTCTAGAGCCGGGGCAGAAGCAGACGTTTCCATGGAGCCGGAGGTCGGCGCCGAGGCAGAAGTGCAATCGCAGAGCTCCGACTCGTTTAAGGTAGACGAGATAACGGTGCAGCCTCTGGAGAATAACATCACACGTAAGATGGTTGCCCGGATAGCCCGATATTGGTCTGAAGACAGCCTGTTAAGTTTTGGCAGATTATTCTGGCGAGTTCTCCCACTGGAACTTCTCCATGCGAATAAAGCAGTGGATCGAGCAGTGTGTAAATGTAGGTCTCCTCAACTTGTGCCTTTTTAGAAGCTTCGCTGATCATCATCTAGGACGCCCCGGATGGCCCCAAAACGCAGTTCAAGGAATATTACCGCCCAGAAGAATTGCAGTCATCCTCAAACACAGTGGCTTCACTATCATCCCTACCGCCGCGTTACGTCGCCGACTTCTTAGTTCACGCTTTTTTCAACCATGCCGAGACCAGTTACTTTTATGTCGAACGACATTGGCTGAATGACAAGCTCGACCTGGTCTATGAGAACTCGGCGTCCCTGACACGGCGAGATGTTGGTACTGTGTGCATGATTCTCATAATATTTGCCATCGGGACGCAGTATGCATACCTGGATTCTCGCGATGAGAGAGGCGGGCCACCTAATGCAGCTGCCGACTCGAGCCCCTTTTCTGAGGATACCATCGGTATCATGTTTTACCAGCAAGCTTGTCGACTGGTCCCTGACGTGATCACAATATCGTCGTTGGAAAGCGTTCAGGCATGTCTTCTGATAGGCTTGTATACACTGCCTCTTGATGCTTCAGGCCTGTCCTACGTTTACTTGAACCTCGCAGTCAAGCTAGCAATTCAGAACGGGATGCATCGGAAGTATCCTGGGGATGCCATTGATCCAGTTATCCGTGAGACGAGGAATCGTGTGTGGTGGACGGCCTATACGACTGAAAAGTGAGCGAGGTCTTCCTCCAAGCTTTGAATATAAGCTGACTATACATCATAGGCGCATTGGTATATTTCACGGTCGACCAATATCTATTGCTGCCAGCGACGTCGATGCGGAGTTGCCATTAGACCGCCCAGATATCTGGCCCGGGCCTGCGCCACCAAACACAGCGCACATGTTGGCAACGCTCCAGCTCAACAACGCTTTGAGCCGGATAGCCCACCAGATGTCAGTCATCATACACTCCCACAGCTAGTCTTCATCTAACATACCTGCGTAGATCATTATTCAAGACGTATGAAAAGCATGAGATACCCGAAGGCATGGCCAAACTTGTAGAGATGAAAGCCCAGCTTCACAATTGGTGGAATAGCCTCCCAGAGCCGACATTCTGTAAGGACCCTTCCATCGGCCCCGCCGTCTTCCGGCCTACTATGCACTTGAGACTGGAATACTGCCTCGTCCGTATGTTCGCTGGCCGTCCCTTTATCTTTCCGCGGGACTCGACCCGCAGCACCGCAAGCTCGTCCGGGTCACCGGCGGATTCGGTCGTGCCGCCACGCACGAGCAGCTCGACGGGTAAAACACATCCTCGCTCGGTCCTGGTTGCAGATTGCGTCGATGCGGCGCTGTGCGTAGTAGAGACGTGTCGTCTGCTTCGCAACAGCGTCGGCCTCGCAAGAGCATCTTACACGGAGTTCAGCTCTTGTCGCGCCGCGTTGCTCGTGATAATCACGCAGTGCTTGCAGAAGAAAACGGACCGCCTGCGCGATGCGCTGAGAGAGGGTATGGCGATGCTTAAAGAGATGTCAGCGGGCGGCGAGTCGGCCAAGTCCGAGATGTCGCTAATCGAAGCGTTTGAGCGCGCAATTTCGAGGCTGGACACGGCAGACGACACCAGCTCGACGAAAGAGTCAGATTATGCAAGGTTCAAGAAATGGGAAATGCTGTGGAAAACGGACACGCCGGCACAGGATGCGAGGAGCGACAGAGGCCTGGATGCGGCGTTGCCCATCCCGCCGCATCCTGCAGGATTATGGCGGGGGAACCATGGTCATGGAGGACACGTTGCTCCTGGAGCGGGACGGCAGGGCACAGGGTCGTTGCCGCCAGCGATGCCGTTCTTCGGTCTTGACGGGAGCTTGTCGCCCATGCCACCGGCCCTCGACGAGTTCTCGGCTATGTTCGGGAACGGTTACGCACCGGGATTCGAGGGCATGGGCGGGAGTCTGAATGGGAACTGGATGGGGCTCTGAACAGAAAATGAGCATGAAAAAGGCGAAAGTGAAGTCAATAACTTCCGCCAGCGGCGCTTGGTTGAAGAGAGAAAGCGAATTTACGCCCACATTTGATCAGCCTGTCTTGTCAAAACGCGAAATATTGTATTCATATGCTCTCAGCGCCGCAGTTGGTCTAGATCGGTGTCTAATATGACTCGAGTTGTTGCAGGCCTTTCAGGCTTGACCGACCTATTCAACATCTTGTCAACGGTTAGAGTTTGAGTCAGACATGAGCACGCATTTGCAACAGTCCCATTCCGTAAATTATAGTCTCTGCCTAGTAACTAGACGAGTGGTGTTTGTTAGTGGTTATCAATGTAGAGTTAGCAGCAAAGGTAATCTGATAACAAACGCTCAAAGTTGGTCCAATGGTCTACCACAATTTTGCACGGGTACGATAGTACAGACAACTCAGAGCGCCTTGAGAGACAGCACAGAGACAAAGAGGCAAGTCGGGCGTAGTCAATGACTACAAAACCTTGGTACAAAAGAGACGTTCTCCGAACCCAGAATCGAACTAGGGACCTTTCGATCATCTTGGTGGAACCATTACAGTCGAACGTGATGAACCAACTACACCATTCGGAGGAAACGTGATTAAACCACGTGAATGATTGGCCGACTGCTGGTCAGCGGGCCCAATTGGGAAAATATGAAGCTCACAAACGTATCGGTCACGATGTTTTTCCAGGGCACCCTGGACTTGTTCTCAACAACGACTATTGACTCCACATACAAACGTCTCAGAAAACGCGTCGAAGCCCGAGGCAGAGACCTCCTGCAAATATCCAAGAATTCGGATGCCAGGTTCCTGCAGTTGCAGGTCGACTTTCTCCACCGCACCGTCAGAGACTTCTTCCGCGAAACTCGCGCCATGGATGAAACCCTCCAGCTAAGGGAAACAAATGACTTCAGCCCACTGGTTTCTCTTTGCAGAATCATGTTAGCATGTGGGAAGGCCCTCCCCTATCCCACCGAGATCCCCGTAGACTTCAACCAAGTTTTCCTTTTCACCGACGGGCTGATGTACTATGCCTGGAGAATCGAAGATGAACGAAGCAGGGACAAGGATGGAAACATCACCCCGACGGAGGGCGACAAGACCAGCCTACAAGACTCCTTTGAGCTATTAGACGAGTTAGATAGATCAAACACGCAGCGACTCAACAAGGACGGGTTTCACTGGCCTAACTACAGGGAATTGCTAAATGGGAACTTCAAGGAACTTAGGAAGAAGACGTTTCTTGCCACAGTCATACAGTTAAGGCTGACTTATGTTGAGCATAAGATGAAATGCCAAAATCAAGTGGAAATCAAAGCTGGACGGCCACTTCTCGACTATGCCCTGTGGCCTACGATGATAACTCCTCTGCAACCCGAAAGACCCATCCCAGAAGGCCCGGTCAGCCCCATCGTCAAATACCTGCTGAACAAAGGCGCGAACCCCAATAAACGTCCGCGCTTCTATGATGAACAGAGTCTCTGGGAGCTATTCCTGGCCGTCTGTCTCGACCACAGCACAAACGCTGACAAGTACAACCTGAAGAGCTGTGAGATTGCGGAAACCATGCTCGCCATGCTCTCACACGGCGCGGACACGCACGCCTGGAGAGAGACACGGGGTCACAAGAGGGTCGGCATATTGGAGATTACGCAGGGCCTTGACTTGACCCGTGGAAAGCCGCGTGAGATTGAGAGTCTCATCACTGAGAAGCAGAAGGAAGAAGAGGATAAGATGGTCTCTTCAGGCGTCTTTGGGTTTTTTCAGAGCGCAATGGTTTACTTCAACAGATGAAAGCTATGACAGGCAGAAAGTAAAACCTCCCAATCTTCCGGTGGCAACATGTACACAATATACACGTGAAGCCAGAGCCCCTTTAATAGCCTGTCAATATTTTGAAAGCTTGTCTTCATGCACTTCTTTGAAAGTCCATCCCCCACGACTTCCAAAATGCGTCCTGCCAACCAGTCAAAAAGATCATGGTGCATAGTGTAGAGCCAGCCCAGACACCTGAGGAGTACAGCATTCCTATGGAAGGGACTTCCTTCACGACAGGCTTCATCTTTTCGGACATTTTGGAATCAGGATGCCCGTCAAATCTGTGAAGATACCGTATTCACATCTTTATCTTGGTCTTCAGAAAGGATGCGAGGTTACATTCGCGAGGTCATAATCTTGTCTTTTGTACGCAGATACGTCCAACTACACTACGCCTCTCTCAACACTTCGTAGTCGTACTCTGGGTTCACCCAGTCGGGCTCCCCGCACCTCTGCCTGATAGCTCCGCCGAACCAATGAAGGAGCACGAGCGCCCGGATGCAGAAGAAGAATGTGATGATGCCGTGCCCCACAAGGGTCCACGGGTACCCCGCCTCCGCGACCTAAGGCGCGATATAGAAGGGGTCGATAAAGGCGCTGAGGTTGAGCAGCACGGCGCAGAATGTGATGACGGCTATGCTTTAAAGTGGGTACGCGTCGACAATGTACGAGCAAACGGTCATGTCACCCATATTGGATACCAGCACCGACTTTGGGATCAAGTCAGTCAGTCATTCATTCAAGCCCAAGCGACCCGCGAGGGGAAAAAACAAAAAAGGTTAGGTCTCAGAAAGACAGAAAAACACTCACACAATGCAAAATCGACCTGGCCCACCATCCAGTGGTACGCCTTGTCGATACTGATACTCTAGATGATGAGACCCACGGAGGTCAGCAGCGCGGCCGGGTTGGCGAGCCACAGACGCATCTCGGTCGTTTTGACGCCGCCATTGCGCTTCGCCAGCCGGACGATGAGCCAGTCGCTAAGCTTGCCAGAGAAGAAGATCTTCGAGACCAGGGTCCCGACGATGAGGCCGATGATGGAGAGGCTGCAGACACGTTAGCCGTCGACGCGTCCCTGCTCCGCACACAAAGATCGAGGCGGCAAAATTTATGTCCCCCGATGGGAGTTTTAAAAAAAAGGGAACTATCGTGTTGCCTTTTTTTGAACGTACCCCTGAATCTGCGGCGAGTGGTCGATGTACGCTACGGGAATCATCGTGATGACCGACAGCACCCATCAGTACCACACGAAGCAGTACATGCCTGTCGCGATAGGCCCGCTTGCTTGTGGACTACGTTATAGGTAGTGCTTAAGAAGATATCACCAGCTAGGCTGGCGAATCTGTGTTACTTGATTGGCCAACCGATGAGGTCACGTGACATTCACGTGATCTCAGTCACCCATCAGTCACAAGTGATCTAGATATCCTAACACGATGTGACTTAGGCCTAGGAATGATTCCTTTCGGCGGGCTACAAGCCCTTACGGCCCTAAGACATGGCTTTGGACCGCAGAGTCCTCTGACGCGAATAATCAAACAGCCATCAGAATAACAATGTGTCGAGCCATACCATTAAGCCGTAATGCCAAAAAAAAACCGCCTCTGGTCGGCTTACGTACTTGTTCGCTCTTATGTATGCGGAGTGGGTTGTGTACGGCCTGACACAATGCTATGGCTATGCAATGACGATACATCCGAAACTGAATCTAATGTTATGCAGATAAGGGACATAGTGTATGACAGGGACAGGTTGCATTAAAGACAGACGGGTGAGTCTGTATCGTCATCAGCTACGGCAACAATTGAGGCATACGAAGAGCCAAAATATGAATGCATCGACTGATGGCTATGTCAACAAACGAAGATGATCGGTATTATTCCAGCTGAATTATCATAGCAACGTGTGTGTACATAAAAAGATTGTAGCTAAATCAACCTCCAAATCAGAATCTGGCAGTTGCACGATAGTGTAGAGTACAACAAGGCACAGAGTTCCACGTTTCTGTTAAGAGTGCCAAGAGGTATTCAGCGTTCGATGTCCTGCAGGAGAAACCGAAATATATAAAACCTGGTTCTTTCCAAATCTGGTGCATCCAAGGATGCAACGGAATCAATAGCGTTGAGACTGTTTGGGTAGTGTCGGCAATCCCTAACAATGCTGCGTCCCTCTTTGAGCTACTCGGGGGAAGGAGGCCTTACCACAAACGTCTGGTTTGTTGAATATCACTTTGGCTGTATATATACACAAAGACAGGTCTGCCTGGCTCGGCCGGGTTCCATTGGTAATCACGGATCACTAGTTTCATAGCGGGGTTGTGTCAAAACGTAAAGTCATAGCTGTAAAACGCTGTAGGATTCTAAACAGCCGATAGAACAATGGCAAGAGTCTCGTCAATCAGTACACCCCTCCTACTCCTCCGGATCGCGACCGCCCTGCGCCGCCATGTTCCTCTCATACTCTTCGTCCGACTCCAGATCGATCTCGACAGGATGCGTAATCGGCACAATGGGGATCCCTTTCTCCTCGAGCTTCTTCAGCCTGGCAGCCGTCTCGGGCCTGGACCGGTTCATGCTGTAGACCTTGATGCGGTGGGCCGAGGACGTGACGTGGAGGTCCCAGTTCCTGTATCATCGTCAGCATTGCGTCTTGAAACCGCCTCCCGGACCAGAGAAGAGACGCGATAACTGGGGGGGAAGGACCAGAAAAGAGGGGGAAGACTCACCAAGCAGACCGCACATAGGTAGGCTGCGTGTTACACGCGTTGTCCCACGTCCTCACGCAGAACTCCAACCACCCCTCCGCGTCGACCGGCAGTTCAATCTCCCACAGCCGCCACGCGTGGTAATACTTCTTGGTCATCTTGTCGTACGGGACCTCGTACCACACCGAGCCGCCGTCGCCGCTGACCTCGACCCTCACAGGCCAATGCCCGCCACCCGAGTACGCCCAGCCGCGCAGCGTGATCTTGCCGTCGTGGACGATCTGGTCCATGTCCTTGGGCGTCATGATGGCCGACGACACGGGCATTTCCTGGATCGAGAAGCCGTTGCTGTACTTGACGTTCTGCTTCCCAATCTGCGGCGTGTAGTAGATGTACTCCCGCCTCTGCACCGGCGCCGCGCTCTCGTGCGGGATGGCCCGGACCTCCGTCAGCCACTTGGTGCTCCGCGCGCCAATGTACCCGAACACGACGGTCCTCAACGGGAACCCGTGGATCTTGGGCAGCGGCTCGCCGTTCATCTCCCACGCGAGGAGGACCTCGTTCAGCTTCACCTTGCGCCACGGCACGCTCACCACGTAGTTGTGCACTCTGCCCTTCTTGAAGTACGTGTCCGCGCCGTAGAACTCGAGGTGACCCGCCCCCTCCTTCAGCCCGCCGCAGTGCTTGATCACCTTCTTCAGGCTGACGCCCGTCCAGCGGGCCGTGCCGATGGCGCCCTCGCCCCAGGGGGCATTGATGAGCTCGTCGCCGTCGCCGGGGTACTGGGCGATCTGCTCGATGCGGCGGGTGCCGGAACACTGGAGGGAGACGACGCTGCTCTGGTGTGGGAACTTGGTCTTGAGGTCGTGGAGAGTAAGGGTCTGCGGGTTGTTGACGAGGCCCGTGATGTCGAGGGTGTACTTGTCCTCGTCGATCTCGGGGATGCCGCCGTGGTTGCGAACGAAATGGTCTTTGTTGTCGGTGAGTTCCGTCTCGACGAGTCGTTTCTGTGTGGTGGTCAGCTTTTATCTGGTACGGTGCCGAGGTGCCATGGTGGCTTAC